CTCAGGGGCTGTTTTTTCTCCCTATGATTGCCCCTTGAATTTCGCGTAGTCAGGCAGTCCCGCAACCCTAGGGTAAAACTACGCCGTTCCCTCATGCAGTTCTTGAAGTGTGCCAGTGCAAACGTCTCAGAATGCCCCAAACTGCAAGCGGTTTTAATGTCCTTGAAACCTTTCACCTAAAGCACTCAGGAGTAACTTTCCAAGGCACAAAACCCTCACCGCAAACCGCAAGATCGTATGCCAGAACCTGCAAAGGCACAAACCGCCAACCCCCCTTGCAAGTCGTGTTAACCTCCAATTGCCAAACACAAAGCATGCGAGTCCGATATATGCCGTAATACCAGAGTCCAGGTGCATCACCCTCAGAAGCCCCTAAGATAAAAACCTCGGAGCCATAGCGTCAAAAACTGGATTGCTGTTACGGAACTTAATTAAAGTTACCATAGTATGGGCACGTAAGAAATATGGCGTCTCCTTGTGATAGCTATTCAAAAAATTCCTTAACAGCAACCCAGTAAAATCGCAACAACGTGCCCCAAAGCCCTGGCAATAAAGACAAAACCGTTATTTTGCGAGCCTCCCTGCTCTCTGCACACAGTTCTGACGCGCGGTCCTGCTTCAGTCTGAGAAAATGATCTTGAAAAGAAAAACACAGGAGGGTGAGAGCTTGAAGGGTTAGGGCTTTGAGGGATTGATGAGCTGAGGCTACTAGAGTAGGGGTTGAAGGGCTTGGGCCTTGAAGACATTTAGGTAAGGTTTGGCATCGAAGGAGGAAGCTGGACCACTATTCCCCCTGAGCTCCTCCCCTTGGACTCCTACCCTTCATGCACCCATCTGCCCAGGTTTAGGCTTTAGGGTTCAGGGCCTACGGTTTATGACCTATGCAAGTTTTAAGGAAAAATCCTGAAGATCCGAATCAGGGGGTCCAACTAATGAGACATGCGCATCTGGACTTGGCCTCTGCCCAACCAGCCCTCCTTCCCCGCTTCTGTTGATTCATAGGGATAATGGAAAAGAAAATGGAAATTACTATAGTCTAGGGTTTAGGGTTTAGAGTTCAGGGCATAGGGTTATATTGGGATAATGGAAAAGAAAATGGAAACCACTGTTTAGGGTTTGGGGTTTTAGGGTTTAGGGTTTAAAATCAGGGATCCAGGGACCTACTCAGCATAAGTTGGGCAAATGCATTCCATTTTCTAGCACGAGCGCATTGGGGATTGACTTGGGCAGTGGGATCCGACATTCACCTGGGCACAGTCTTACAGACCTAAACTGAACAGTTTGATGCAAGGAACCCTTTTTCCAGTACCAACACCTCCTGTCTGTATGAATGATTCGGTTCTCTTCAACGGACGAAAGGCAATCTTTTAGTGATCCAGAAAAGCAGCAACTGCAAGATGATGACATCCCCTGTATGGGTGCTTTCGGCTTTGAACTCCATCGTATCTTGCGACGCCCTAAACCTTGGCAACTGCCCCACCCTGCGAAAGGCAAAACTAGGACGCTTATGAAGGCTAACATATCACTGCTATTATTCCGATATTGGCTGTTATAAGGCGAGGACAATATGCTAAACCTGAAGCCCAGATCCCTGCACCTGAAACCCTAAACGGCTTCCTCAGATCGTCGCAGGGCTGCACGCAGAGTCGATGCCTCACGTGGCATTTCAGTCTGAGAGGCCAGTTTTGGGTCTGGGACGCAGGGTATATGGAACCGGGAATGTACTGGCTTGCTGTTCAAGGACTTGAAGTACGTTACTATAATAAGGAAACCCTATTACTTACTATATACCTATATTGCGGTACCTTAAACCCTAGACCTGAAACCTTAAATCCTAGTTCCTATATACCCTACTTTATACCTTTATTCTGGTACCTTCAACCCTTAACTCTAAACCCTGTATACCCATATCATGGCATCTTAATCTAAATTGCTTAACAGCAACCCAGGGTAGGGGTGTAGGGCTGGATGGTTGGAGAGTGGGGTGGAGCGTAGGGTTTAGGGTTTTAGGGTTTAGGGTGTAGGGTCTAGGGTTCAGGGTTTAGGATTTAGGGTTTAGGGTTCAGAGGTTTAGGGTTGCGGGTTTATGGTTGAGGGTTTTAGGGTTTAGGGTTCTGGGTTTGAGGAGTCGAGGACATCAGGGTTGCGTGACTGTTCGAAGTTGGGGGACGTCTTGCCAACCAGAACCCTCTGTGACCCTGACTGTACCTAATTTTCACAAACTCCAGACGTCGTGCATCCTCAATCGGTTCGCCTAGGGCCAACATGGCTCTTGGGCTTGGGATTTTTTGGATTTGGTAGTTTCCCAAAATCAGGGATCCCAATATAGACCCCCAGATACTATAATTCTCATTATTGGGACCCCTATAAATGTACCTGTATTTTTGGGAAACTACCATTTAGGGTTTGGGGCCAAGGGTTAGGGGCTGAGGTTTATTGTCTTGAGCTGATGTCCGGGGAAGGGGCCCCAGAAGCTCAGAAAGCCTGTACTCTCGAACCAGAGGCCGTCCCAACCTACTTCCTCGGGGTTTAGAGTTTAGGATTTTTTTTACAACCCCTCGGACTTTTAATGTCTGCTTGAACAGGGTTTAGAACTCAGGGTTTAGACTTTAGCGTTTAGGGCCTAAGCCTTAGCATTAAAGATCACCCAAGGCCCCAAGCTGTAAATCGTAAATCTGCCCACCTGAACCTGGTCCTGGCTCTGGGACGGTTCACAAGTAGTAACAAAAAATGCTAATAAGCATGATAAACAATCCAGATTCCCTTTTGTAAGAAAGCAATGAAAAATCAATGAACCTAAAACCTTGAACCCTAAACCCTAAATCCTAAAACCCTGAACCCTAAACCTTAAACCCTAAAAACCCTAAAAAAACCCAAAACCCCACACCCTGAACCCTCAACTCCTAAACCCTCAACTCCTAAACCCTAAACCCACCAAAATTCTACAGCTGCCTCAGCCGGAACCGCCTCCGGGCCTGGGCAGGCAACACTTCGGAGGTGTAGAGTTTAGGGTTTAGGATTCAGGGTTTAAGGTTTAGGGTTCATAGGGTTTAGGGTTCAGAGTTTAAGGTTTAGGCTTCATAAGGCTTTGGGTACAGAGTTTAAAGTTTAGAGTTTTGGGTTTGGGGGTGTGTTCCAAGATTCAGGGATGTGGGTTCAGGGCTTATGGTTGAGGGCGTCCAGCTAAAGAACTCAAGGGTTTGTTGGGTCAGCAAAATCATGGGAAGTGAACGTGCCTGTAACTCCATAAATACTTACAAATACATATATATGTATGTATGTATATGTGTATATATATATACACACAAATATATACATATCTGTATACATACATACATACATACATACATTCCTATATACACACATTACTTTATTCATCTGTTGATTTACTAATTCTTGACTGCTTATCTAATATGTGTCTGTGAAGTACTGGAGGCATCGAAACTCTTTCATTTTCAGGCAGTGCAACCGCAATGAGCTCCGGACTGCGCATCCGCAGCAGCTGGGCAAAAGATGGTTCCGCGCAAGCCGGAATGAAGGGTACTCAGGTGTCGCTGCAATTACAACTATGGATCATAGAAATTTCCTGAGAAGAACACCAACAGCCGGAACAGCTTTAGACCAAGTTGCCGATTACTCATGCGTGGTTGATGAGCTTGAGCAAGCTTACTATTGTACTCTGAAAAAAACCACTGTCACGTGCAGTGCGTTGTCTGTGTCATCAACACAAGAAGTTTTTTGCATACAGCATATCATACTGATCATACACCCTCCGTGCTATTCGGGTCCTTAAAGCCCTAAATTCGTGATCTTCACAGCCCGCATCAGGATTGAACCCGCACTGCTGCGATCATGACGGCACTGGCACCGCGGCTTCTAGCGAAGCCTTACTGAAACTCTTCAAACTGGCTCTTGTCTGCGACTGTTCCGTACTCTTTCAGATTGTGTTTCTGTATTTCCGATGTTTTCTTGCAGTTGCTCGTACAAGTAGTCGTGGATTCTCTCCTGGAGCATTGCCTACCTGCATACTCCCTCTTCAAGAACAACACACATACCTTTCTTTGGTGTCCTACCTGCGCAAGAGGGATCTTCTGGAAAACTGCTAAGCCTCCGGAATGTCCCACCTCACTTGTTGGAGACTGGAAACTGTTTTTTGAGCAACCCTACCCAGTGCAAACCTAAAATGGTTAACAGTGGAGGGGTGCCAAAATCCAAAATCTTCCCCCCAGAGTCATCGATCTCCACCCAGCGGCCCAGGGTTTTTGGAGCAGTGATGCTCAAGCTTCAGGCAGCAGATGACCCCAAGATACCATAGCAAGTAGATGAGTTTCGCAGCAAAGTGCTCATGAGTCAAAATGGTGGTCCAGCATCAGGCGCATGTGAGGTATTGTATAAACTCCTCCCCTGAATAACCCCTTTTGTCTTCCCCTATATAATCCGCATATAACCCCCTTTTGACGAATTTAGATTGTGGCTCATACATGGCACAAACCCACCCATGACTAGCTACAACTGTGGTTACAAGTGGGATAACGATGTCCTTGAACCTCAAAGTCCAAACCACAAAACCTGCTGGTGTGGTTGGTGGCATTGCTTTTAACCCCTTCCTTGGCACCCTGGCAAAAGATACCAGTTCCTTTGCCAAGACATCTCATACACCCTCTATCGTCTGCGGCCTGGGAATGCCGGCTTTTGGGGGGGTTCCTTCAACCATCGTGCGCTAAATTTAGGGTTTAGGGTTTATGGTTGGTGAACTGACCTGACCCAGCACTCACATCGGCATTTTCACGCGGTTCGTGCGCGCTGCACATCCCGGCCAACGGCCAGAGAAAATTGCGACGAGACTGTGAACACTGGTTGCTCAGTAGTGTAGGAGCTCGAATAACCCCTAGTCTCATTTCCTTTGCAATCTCTGTATTCTGTTTTTAAATATAGCACAAACACTAAATGCCCATTTAAAAAAAAAACTGAACCCCAAACCCTACCCTTAGGCTCCCACATTACGCCTGTCCCTCAGCTTCTACAGCTCTATCTTCGGGGACCGGTCGCTTCTGCCAGTGCGTCTGCTTTCCAGACTCCCACCAGCCTCCACCCCAGCCTCAGTTGCTGTTATTACAGGGTTTAAGGTTTAGGGTTCGCAGGGGTGATATAGGGATTATAGGTGTATATAAGGGTTATATAAGGGTCATGTAAGGATTATAGGGTTTCTATCGGGGTTATATTGGGATAATGGAAAAGGAAATGGAAGCTACTATTTAGGGTTTAGGGTCTAGGGATAAGGGTTAAGGATTAAGGGTTTAGGGTTTGGGGCATATAGAGGTTATAAACATAAGTATTATAAGGTTTCTATCGGGGTTCTGTTGGGAGAATGGAAAAGGAAATGGAAGCTACTATTTAGGACTTAGGGTCTAGGGATATTAGGTATTCCGGTTAAGGGAGTATAATCGGACTATATAGGGGTCATTTATAGGGAGTTATAGAGTTTATAGGGATAATGGATAATGGAAAAGAAAATGGAACTGCTATTCAGGGTTTAGGGTCTAAGGTTCGGAGTTTAGGGAGAAGGGTTTGGTTTGGGATTTAGGGTTCCAGGATTGAGGGCTTCCGTTTTGGGCTACAAGGCTCAATTAGGGCTGCTTGAGGTTTGGGATTCTTTCGGGTTTGGGATTTATGTTTTAGGGATATGTGATGGTTTCCCTACACTGGTACTTTACCCACAAACCCTAAACCCCAAACCCTAACCCCAAACCCTAAACCCTAAACCCCAAACCCTGAAGCTCCTCTAAGAACGACCCGGCAGCTGGCGTCAGACCAGCTCTGCGACCACCAATCAGAGTTGGAGCCCTGGCGGGCGTTCCTGGGTCATCCATTTAAACCCCTAAACCCTAAATCCCAAACCCTAAACCACTAAACGCTAAACCCTTAACCCAAAACCCTAAACCCTTAAACCGTTAAACCCTTAAACCCTAAACCCTAAGCCCTTCAATCGTTACACCCTAAATCCAAACCATAAATCCTAAAACCCCGAACCCCGAAGGGCAGAGAAGCACAAGATCCTATGAAATGACCAGTGGCTGCAAGGGCCTCTAGGTCATCAGAAAATCCTAGGAATATGGGGGTGTCCATAAATACGGGGCCCCAATCTAGACCCTTACATGTCAAACTCCTCATCATAAGAACCCCTCAAAAGGGACCCTCTAAACCCTAAACCCCTAACTTTTGGAAAGCCCTGACATCTTGAAAAAAATCCTACCCTAAACCCTAAACCCTACAAACCCCTAATTATCCTAATTGTTGGGAAACCCTGAGATCTTGAAACAACCCTACACCCTAAACCCTATAAACCCCTAATTATCCTAATTGTTGGGAAACCCTGACATCTTGAAACAATTCAAGGACAAAGCTCCTCCCCCGCTGCTTTCGGCCACGATCTTCGGAGCGGGCCTTGGACTGTCCTTGGTTTAGGGTTTAGGGTTTAGGGTTGAGGGTTTAGGGTTTAGGGTTCTGGGAACGCCAAACATGGAACCACAGTAATATGATTATAATAGGAGTATACCTACCAGGGACCTTACATTCTAGTAGAGTCCCACTATGTTCTTGGGGTTCCCTGTTTGGGTTTCCCATTAGAACCCTTTTAGTTAAGAGACTTAAATTAAGTTACCATTATTAGGAAACCCTATTCTTTACTGTATACACATACCACGGTAACTTAAGCCCTAAACCCTGTATACCTATATATCTATATGTGTGTATACATATATGTATATGCCCCTAACACGGTGACTTAAGCCCGAAACCTTGTCTATCCAAATATACTGATATACGCATATTACGGTAACTTTAAGCGCTAAACCCTATAGACCCATATACATACCCATATTATGGTAGCCTGAGCGCTAAACCCCATATACCCGTATTGCGGTAACTTACGCGCTAAGCCCTATGTACCCACATACACACATGGTAACTCAAGCCCTAGACCCTACCTATTATACCCATATATACCCACCCTAAACCCTAAACCCTAAATCCTAGCCCTAAACCCTATATACCCATACCCATGTTATGGCAACTTAAACCCCAAACCCTATATACCCATGTGGCATGGACCTTTGTGTTCTATTTGGCGAAGATGTTTGTTATACTATTAATCGCAAGCAAATAGCCATTCCGCGCAGAGCGTCATGGCATGGCCGGACACAGCTGCGAGAAATTTATGGCATACTTGATGCAAAACTTTGGAACTTCCTTTGAACAAAACATGAAGCAACGTTATTTGATTAACATGCCGTATAATGTTCGCTCGTGTATTTACGTTGTGTTTGACGATGCGCATGAGCATGACAAACACGCATGTTTCACAGCT